AAAAGCTGGTAATTGGTTTTATTGTTCTATCACATAATGGCCTAATTGCTTTATCTCTGCATTGAGATCAGCTTCAAAAGAAATGAGTGCCAATGCTCCCACTCCCAATAATCAACCAGACCAAATTTCAGAAGCTGACACCTGCATTAGCCAATTACCAATGCAAGTTGATACAATTGTTTCCTTATAATATTCATTCGGAATGACTATAACAAAAAATATCTTTATTTTAATATCTACTCATAAACAGGAAGGTAATAAGATCTTTGGGTGATCACAACATTTCAGCCGTTTGGTTGGAATTCTGTTTTATTTTTTGAATTAGGAACTTTCTGTATCATTTTATAGACTCGGGGGAATTCCTGCTAATTCCTCCCTGAATAGAAACGAGCCAATCGCAAAGTAAACATCAGCAGCCGATTTAATTTCATCTACGTGACAGACTGTCAAATATGTTAAATTGTAGATTGAGCAAATAAGACGAGAGGTAATTGTACCATGAGATCGATGTGTCATTAAAGCTGGTTGTCACGTTTTCACAGTCACAAGATTAATTTGTACGCTGATGGCGTTTGCTTCCTAATTATGCGTCTTTAATTGAGGCCGGCTTGTTAAGCTTCCAGCTCTGACTGTCTGAGGTCCAAAGGACGGAGAGGAGCCGGGAGAAAAGACTAGATGGACCAGCTGTCAGGTGATGGACCATTGAAGCCTTTCCCACGATTCCTCTGTAACCTGGAATCTTATCTTTATTTTATCTTACCGAGTGTAATGATTGGTCTATTTATTGTAAGATGTCCATTTTTTTTACACCAATTAACATTTTCTGGGATAATTTAATCGGTTATTTAGGGCTGACGTATTCCAAGAACTCTATAGAACATTAAAGCTGCAAGCCTTTACCCTTGCAGTAGGTCCCTCTACCCACTGCAAGAGTTGACTGCTTTATTTTCCTAGGAGATGATGAATTACGTTATATACTTAGCTTGTTTCTTGCTCCACATACAGCCGGTGCGCTCCTCTGCTGTCCAGTGCTCCCAAGATGTGGGTGGGCCCTCTGTCTCATCCCGTGCAATGCAGAATCATTGGTGCATAACAGCATCAAAGAACACAGGCTTGTACTTGTCTCTATTCTTAAATAATGACATTGTTAGTTGATATTGTTATGCACACTCAGGAGCTGGAAGATGGTGGGTGTTGTTAGGCAGCTTACAGTAGCCTTTCTCAACCAGGGTGCCTTCTGGCTTTGCCAGGGGTGGCTTCAAATGTTTTCTCAAGGGGAGACTCTGGTGTAAAGGTGGCTCCTGATGTGAAGGGGGGAGCCTCTGATGCGAAGGGTGCTCCAAATGTGAATGGGGGCTTCTAATGTGAAAGGGGGGACTCTGATGTAAAGGGGGCTCCTGATGTGAAGGGTGAAGCCTCTGATGTGAAGAGGGGGGCTTTTGATATGAAAGGGGGGCTTCTCATGTGAATGGGGCTCCAGATTTGAAGGGGGGCTTCTAATGTGAAAGGGGGGACTCTAATTTAAAGGGGGGCTCCTTTTGTGAAGGGTGGAGCCTCTGATGTGATGCGTAGGGGTTTTGAAATAAAATGGGGCCTTCTCATGTGAATGGGGCTCCAGATTTGAAGGGGGGCTTCTAATGTAAAATGGAGAACACTAATGTAAAGAGGGCTCCTGATGTGAAGGATGGGGCTTCTGATATGAAAGGGGGATTCTGATGTGAATGGGGCTCCAGATTTGAAGGGGTGCTTCTAATGTGAAATGGAGAACTCTAATGTAAAGGGGGCTCCTGATGTGAAGGATGGGGGATTCTGATGTAAATGGGGCTCCAGAGGGTCGTCTAATGTGAAAGGGGGGACTCTGGTGTAAAGGGAGAAGATCCACACTTAGTTTTTTTACATTTTATAGACAGGGGTGCCCCTAGATTTTGCATACTTGTAAAAGGCGCCATGATGGAAACGCTGGTTTACAGAGCAGCAGCTGTCAAAGTTCAGGTGACATTTGGCACCTAACTCAAGCTGAAGTGTAAGGCTCAGGTAAAGAAATCTAAACAGGTGGGCAAATATATCTTTAAATCTATAAATCTTTCATATGTATTCCTACATAATTACAATAATTTGAGGCTGTACAGTACACTGAGACACCAGAATAAATTCATTCATGGCTAGTTCTCCTTAAGATAATGTTAACACTTACGGCATGTTCATGGTACATTTCTGTATATAGATCTATACAGCAGATGTAAAAGAGGGATTAAATATGGAGAAACAATGGAACAAAGGCAACTGGATCCAAAATATGAATTGTCCCTCCAAGCAGCTGTGAACTTTGCCCCAGTCATAAAGCAGACACTTCCACTGAACTTCTCTAAAATGCTGTTGGAGACATTGGTTCGCCTTGAGACAGACTCATCAGCATTTTTCTGGAGGAGAGATGCATTCCCGCTGTCTGTGCTCTTGGCAACACCGACTGACGTCTGCTCAGAGAACGTTGTGTAACAGATTATTATAATGGAGCTCTTCTTGATTTAGTTAATCCCATAACTGGCAAAGCGAGGTATGTTTTACAACCAAACCTGTAGAGTCAGATAATAGTTTGATATTAGGGACACAACACGTTTTAATTAACTTGATTTGGATGTTGTGAGACCAGATAGCTATTAGTATTAGTTCTATCTACACCTGAGGGCTTCCGTGTGTGTTTCTGTATGTAAAGTGGCTCTCGAATCATAATGGGTAAACCCAAGGAATATTGTGGCCCCTTTTGTGTACTGAACCCCCAAAACAACTGCACCCTTGGTAGTTGGTGAAACTGCAGCAGTGGATTTGTAGCTGGCAGACATTTTTGCCTAAAAGAAGTCAGATCATACACTAGCGGCTTGTCGAAATACTCCCAGTCACATCCTCTAGGGAGAGTACGTATTCTGTTGCAACATGGGGTATGAATTCTCCATACTACTGAATGGAGAATGCAGAACGCATGCACAGACCTGGCCGGGAGGATTTTGACAAGTGGCTGGTGACACCAGCAAGTTGCAAAGCCGAAATCTTGCTGGAACAGGGAGAAGTGAGTATGAGTGCCGTTCACACTATCCAGTGTGTCTAGCTCAGGTTCTGTGCCATGAACGCACTGGATCGCATCCACAAAACCTCCCCACGTTCTGGGGCAGGAGAGGGCGTGGGGGTGCCATTCAGATTCATAGCACTGCAGACACGCCTCCCGCCCACAGTGCGATTACCACACACCGGAACAATCGTGGTACAGCAATGCCCCGCTTTCCAGTGCGGTGCAATCACAAAAAATAGCGCATGCGCTATTTATAGACCAGAGACAAATTACATTACAGTATTACAGTCCCTTTTATAAATCCATGCTTCCACACTTTCCAAATTACGTGTGCCACATTTAATATTTCTATCAACAAGATTCATTATTAGAGATCAGAGGAAAAAAGCATTAAAAGAGAAAAGGAAGAGACAACATAGAAAAAAGTAAGATAGTGTGAAAAAATAAACCAACCCATTTAACTACTAGAATCCAATCTAAGGGCCGGTTCACACCATAAACAGTGCGTTCCAGAGTGGTCAGCCTCTGAAACGCACTGTATCGCATTCCGGTGTTCTATCAAAGTTTGTGACTACGTTGGAATGTGTGACCGGTCATGTGGTATAATTATATATACCTGTCACACACCTGTCTCCTTGTGGCCTTTCAGACATGATGTGGGGGCTTATTATAACATGTTATTAGAAAATATGGGGTGGGAAATTGGTACTTGGGTGAAATACTTTATCGAATGTGGTGCTTGGTGCACTATAAATTGTTGTACAATGGCTTATTACATATATATTAAAAAATAAAAATAAAACGGAAACACTTGCGACACGGATGGGAGAACAGCAATGATGCAGCAAAAGAACCTGCTGCTGAAAAAAAAAAAAGTCAAAATAATAAAAGAAAGAAACAGAAAGAAAGAAACAGTCTTTATTTAACTCCAGCAACACACTACATAAGCAGCCTTATATAGTGTGGGGTTGGGACTTGGCTGTGAGCCATGATTGGGCAAAGTCATCATTACTTTGCCCAATCATGGCTCTTCAGTGCACAATGCCGTGATTGGGCAAAGTCGTGCACCTGACCTGTGGTCAGGTGCATTGCTTTACCCAATCAGGGCTCTCCAATGCACACAATGCATTGTAGGGAGCTCAGCGGGCAAACAGCCTGCGATGAACGCCCTGACAGTTCGTGTGATCGCCGAACACACGAACTAGCGATGTTTGAGTCGAACTGTTGCTCGAGATTGAGCGCATCCCTAATCCCAAATGCCGTTCGGATCTAGGAGCCTCAGCTTTAGTATTATATGTATATATATTGCTCCCATGTTGCCGTCACGAAAATTTGTGTTAAGACCCATTCGGATGCATTAAACCAAAAAACATCTGATTGGCCAGAAACGTCACATGTCTGATTCAGTTTCGTCTTTGAACTAAATGCGGATGGGATCCTAAATTCCGAAACATAAATTCAGATTCGGACACATTCGGGTGCATTGGGATTCGGAAATTCGGATGTGTCCGAATTTCGAAAAATTCGTACGAATTTTGATTCAGAGCGAAACCCACATGGCTAGTGGTCATTCTGTCACATGTATTTCTGATAAAGACTATGGGAGGTGGCCATTGCCACACACGTTATGTATGCATGTGCCACTGTTGTTATCATCAGGAAACCCACCCTATAAAATTCCATTCAGCCATCGATGGCATGCATGCAGACAGGAAGTGGCTGCAAATAAGTTGCAGGTTATCAGCAGCACAGAGATGCAACAAAGAATGAAAAAAAGGTGAACGCAGTCATTTATTATGTAATGGTAATCGTTTATGATGCACTTGTCTTGAGGAAAGTAAAGTTTATTCAGATATCATTTACATCTACTTTAAGTTAAATAATCGATAGGATAAAAGATGAAGAGATTAACAAACATGTTTATGTTTCAGGCTATGGATGGACATGCGGTGCTGGAACACAACATCGCTTCATTGTTACCTAAGAGGTTAAGGCTGAAATACTTCTTTCCATATGGTGGGGAGAATATTCTGTTCACTGACTCTGTGAGTATATTGCTCACTTCTGTTACTTGTATTCTGCGTCTGTAATTCAGTTTTTTCTTTTACCAATTTACTAATCCCGGGACTTTTATTGATAAGTAAAAAACATATGATAGTCTCTGTAGCAACAAAACTGTTGCAGTACTTCCGGATATCAGCATCCTTCAAGACGTTCTGGGAATTTATCAGTAAAAGATTGCAATGAAGAGGTTAAAAAGGAACTCAAGCTATTAACCAAATGAACACTTACATTGGGGCTACCCCCACGCTGCAAGGGTTAACTGCTCGCTTTTGTCTAGGGGCCAGAATATGAAGGATATACTCACCTGATCCTCGGTCCTGCAGCAGTCAGCAATCACCTCTCGCTCCCTCCACTGTCGCTGTGGTATGTCCCTCAGCATCCTCATGTTTAATACAGGTGAATGGACCTGCATTAGACCTGATTACGTCAGATGGACTTATACCGCTGGAGCCTGGGGGAAAAAAGACTGCGGAGAGCGGTCTAGAAGCCAGGTGGGATCGAGGATCAGGTGAGTATATCATCTTTAATCCAGCCCATAGACCAGAACAAGCAGTTATCCCTTGCAGTGTGGGGTTAGCCCCACCTCAAGGGTTAATTTTGTTAATTCCTGAAGTTCCTCCTTAAATAATTATGCTTTGTGGATTTTTTATGACGGTACAGAATAGAGGTTTGTTTTTTATTGGCTCTTGGCCATTGTAAATAAGCAGATCTGCCAATTGACCTATTAGCGTAACGAGAAACCATACGAAATGGACATTTGAATCTGAAATCTGAATCTGAAACTCCACTTGTAGGATGCTACCTTACCTCTCAGGGACAGGTGTATGTGCTGTTACTTTCTTGTATTCTCTCCATGTGATGGTAGAAATGGTAGTCCAGTGATGTATAAGCACTGCGATGGCTGACCTACCTCTTACCTGAACTCATGGGTTAATAAATGAGACTCTGTTGGAATTGCTGGACAAGGGTAAAACTGTCAATCAACAACAACTGTTGTTTTTTCATGTATTGCTGACATCTCTTTTTATCATATAATGATTTTAAAATGTTGCCAGCATTGGGCTCAAACAGGTGATAGGACAGCCTTCCATCCTGACACTTCTTCTGATCTGACAGGGGGAACATATAAGTAAATAATAATTAATCTCCAACAGGTAAAACTGCATCATTTTAAGAATTCAATAGTAGAGAATCAGATTTTTTTAAATGGCTTGTTAACTGTTTCTTTTTATATACTGACATGCTTGTTAGCATGCATCCTGTGAAACGGTGCCAAGTGTGTTCTGTCTTAAATATTGTTTAATGCAAAACACATTTCTCCTGAGATCCAGTCTGTGTGGACAGTAGGGCAACTTGCTGACTCAACAAAATTCACAGGCAGTGTCAACTCACCAAGAAGAAGACTCAGAAGTGAAATCCACAGTAGTTTATTCCAGCTTCGTATTACAAGGAACGTATTTTCTGGGTATTTCCTGTAGATTAAAAGACATTTTGATCAGACTCCTCCTGACTCTCTAAAAGCCCTACTTATTAGGCAATAGTGAAGCCAAAACTAACAGGAGAGCATGGGGAGACCAGGAGTGTCTTACAATGGATGTAACTAACACAAAAAAGAGGGGTTAGAGTTAATATATATAAATCTATTGTATTAAAAAAAATTAAATGCAATAAAATAATAAAACAAACAGGCTGCCATGGCAGCATTGGGTCAGCCTTGGCCATTTGTATGGATCAGTACATTCACAACCACCATTTCTGATTTGCTGTTCCATCAGGGATTGGGTAACCAGACATGTGCATATTTACAAAATAATAGCAATTTATTTGTGCATAGTTGCATTTGTTGAAGAACCTTGAAAATCTGTGACTGACAAATCAGTTTTGCATGTACCAATCATTACACCTCATTTAAACAAAAAAACTAAACCAAGATAAAGTGGCAGCCAAAGTCCCAACATTTTTGTTATCAGTGCTGCTTAGATTAAAGTTAGCACCTGATTGGTGGCCACCCTGTGTCTCCTCATAGAAAATGAGCCCCATTAGCTTTAAGACTTAACTTCTCCATGGTCACTAGCGTATATTTATTTTACTTTGGAAGAGTAAATGGCTACATCCTGTGTTTTGTTAATCAGTAATTCCCCGGTACATTGTCTCCAACTGGATTAATAACCGTGGTCATGACACCAAAGGATTATGGTTATTAAAGCAGTTCCTTTTAAATAAATAAACAAAGCCAGTTTATGGGATTTTCTGTTTTTTCAGGACTTTTTAGGTGGATTTAATTTGGAAAAACATCCTGTCATACGGTGCCAGGGAATAACACGCGTGGCGGCTGTAGCTCAGAGATTAAATGTTTTTTTTTCATTAGCGTTGTACATCAATAATGTGCTTGTTTTGTCAATGTTCCTTCTTTAGGCACTTAGTGTAATATTATTAAACAGCAATAAATAAATATATTCTGGTAAGCCCCACTAGCTTCTAAAACTCGAGCTTTGTTTAACTCTTTCGTGACCAGGGGTCATTGATGCATTGATTCATAAACCGGATTTAACAGAATCAGTATGCAGCAATTAACAATAACTTTATAACGCATTTTCTTTCCTAAATAATGTTTACTTTTTTATTAGGCGTATATAAGGCTTTTGGAACCCTGCTTGAACATATACCCTGATTTTTCTTTTACAGTGGAAGTAAAGGTGTAAAAAAATAAAAAAATAAAATAAAAAAGGAGCTTTTAGGTATTACGGTAGCTGCACAGCATATTAGCACTTTATGGCAAACCTACCTGCCAAACCGATCCCCTCAGGCGCTGCGCTCCTTCCTCACTGGCAATTCCATCTCCTCCCCGGTCTTCTATTGTGTTTCAAATGTTCGGCCTCTTGATTGTCTGGGCCCCAATGATGTAATTCCCGCACATGCACACAGGAGCTAATTCATCTCAGCATGCCAGGTCTCTGCGCTGAGCTGCGCATGTGCAACTCAGCGTACAGACAAAAAAAAGAAATGGTGGAAAGAAGCGTTTATGGCAGAAGATGCTTAAGGTGCCCATACACCTTACGATTATCGCACGATTTTCGTCTGCGAGCGCGTTCTCCTACGATAACCGCACAGTTGATGGAAAGTGCACAACTGCGATAACTGTTCGACTTTTGTCTTTACAGCAGGCTAGAAAATGTTTATCGAATTGTGCAAAATTCTATGGATTAGTGTAACACCAGAGCTGCTCTCCTCCGTTATGCATGCTAGTTGCCTGGCTGTCTGAGGCTTGAGTACCTTTTTAGTCACTAACTTGATCCGATCAGTAGTGTCAGAGTGAAGTCAGAACTTCTGACCTGCGTGTTCGTCCTGGGTCAGGTACTGAAGCCACTTGACAGCCAAGAGATTAGTATTTTCCAAAGGAGAGGTGGACTGTATTCTTATAACAGTGCAGATGGCTTAGCTGCGGCACCGCAGTGTGTACTAATTCTAATACATATGTACTTTATTTCTACTCTCAGGGCTTAGGATGGGCTCACTGATGGCTGCATGAATTGGACCCCATTCTGCGATGGAAAGGTGGCCAGCTCTGGCCTGGTTCCTGTTATTTAGCCACATAGCTGATTGGTTGAGTGCCGTTCAATCGCGAGAGTTCACAGCGCAGGATATTGTGTATCTCTACCCATCAAGTAAGACATCCGTCCGGATCTGTTCTTTGAACTATGGAAGTACACTGGTAGTCCTGGAGAGGACACTTTGTAAAGGGATTGGTTAGGAAGAGAAGGCACTGCCCTTGTTATTTTCTTTTTAAAGGTTTTCGGGTGTTTTAAAGGGTTTTTCTAAATTTTTGGCAACATTTGTTTTATATTCAATCAGAAGAACCAGTCATCAAATATCTGTACAATCTTACTGGTGTGGTTTTGTGCTGCTCTAAGTCAAGATTAATACCAGGTGAATGTGAGCTTTAAAAAGCGTTCATCCTTTCTGTGGAATTTGCTAATATCAGTCTCTGGAAGCTCAGTAGAGTTGCCTCTCCACCCCTTGCTTGTGCTCTTTTTGGTCTAGGGGCCAGAATGCAAAAGATATACTCACCCGATCCTCGGTCCTGTGGCAGTGACCTCTCACTCCCTCCGCTCCAGGTGTGGTTTGTCCCTCAGCGTCCTCATATCTATTGGACCTGCATTAGATGTGATGACATCACAGGTCCCTAGACCGGTGGAGACCAGGGGAGAAGAGGTTGCGGGGAACGCTATAGCAGCCAGGTGGGAACGAAGGTCAGGTGAGTATATCTTCTTTATTTGCGCCCCTAGACCAAAAACGAGCAGTTAACCCTTGCAGTGAGGTGGTAGCTTCACTGCAAGGGTTCATTTTTCTAAAACCTGGAGCTGTTCTTTAAAGGAGAACTATGGGGTCAGTGCTTTTCCCCATAGTTCTCCTATACTGAGACGCCGCAGCTGAAACGGATCCCGACAATTATGTCTGGATCCGCCCAGCTGTGTGAGTGACAGCTGGCTCTGCCTATCTAGAGGCAGAGCCTGCTGTACCCGCCCCCCTCCCCCGTTCGTTCCGCCAGTCAGCGTTGGAGGATCGGACAGGGGAGGGGGGAATCCAGTCATTCCCCTGTCACGGCTCACCTGCGGGGAGATGATCGAGAAGTGAGCCAACGCCGGTATGTGTTCGCTCACTTCCCGTTCTACTGAGCCGACCTGTGACAGTTTCATTGTCACAGGTGGGCTCAGGTTATGAGGCTGAGTGCAAAGCACTCACCTCATAGTTCTCCTTTAAGGCCAGGTTCACACCTAGGCGATTGAGCTGTCGAGCTGTTTTTGTGCATTTGAAAACCACGCGATTTTCAATGCATAGAGATGTCTGTGGGACCAAAACCGCGCAACAACCATCCAAAAAAAAGCTCCTGCATGACAGGCAATTTCGCCACCCGCACGACACAATGCAAAGGTGTGAACAGCCTCTATTGGCTTCAATGCGAATCTGTGTTTTGCGCGATATCGCGTGGCTAAATCCGCACGATAAATACCTTAGGTGTGCACCAGCCCTCAATCTGACAATATTTTGCATAACAAGTGTAACTTTTATGAGATTTATTTAGAAAATTGTTTTTTTTTGGCAATTCTTTGTATGCTTTTCTGCAATAAGATTAAAAAAGTCACACTTGACACATCCGGGTTTTCTGACTGTTGAGGATTTGTTTTCGTAGCAACGCCGTACCCCGGAGGATTTAAATGTTTCACCTGCGAAAAGGCGAAGGACAATTATGAGTGCAATCGCTGGGCCCCAGATGTCTACTGCCCGAGAGGTAAGTGCTCTCATGCATGAAATCTTCTTCTCTAATCCTATAATGACGGACACACAGTGAATATTTTTGCCCTGGTGATAAAAGCACATTTGTTACACCCGGGAAATGTGTGACTTTAGAACACTGACTGTTTGTAACTTTGGATTGTCACGCCCAGCCCCTCCGCCCTGGACTTTCTAATCACTTTCACAGTTGAAGTTAACCTTTTCCTGACTCATCGTGGTGGGGGACAGATCGATCACCGCGATGAGTCAGGGGGGATATTTGGAATTTTTGAACATTGTAATGACACCTCCCTCTCTTAAACCGTTGCATATTACACCTTGCTTCAGCCTGGATGGAACTTATTTCATCATGACATGTCCCTTCTCAACTTTTTAAGTACCCAACACAAAGGAAACCAAGTTCCAGCAAAATGATAATGATTCAGTCATCAACCACACCGCCAGACCTGACCGGTATTGTCATTGTAACTCTTTAAAGCTGAACTCCAGACAGATATCCGAGACACAAATGCAGCTCTGTATTCATGAAAGCTGTAGTTTAATCTGCTTATGTGTTGCCTTCCCTGGTTCCTCCGTATCCCCCTCACCAACATGCTATTGAAATGTTTAAATGAAAACTTTCCATTTGTGTTACATATCTTATTTTTGGACCCAGTGATATCATCACTCGGTCCCTGTGCTACTCTATGCAATGGAGGACCCAGCGATATCATCACTAGGTCCCGTACTACTCTATGCAGTAGAGGACCCAGCAATAACATTGCTAGGTCCCTGTGCTACTCTATGCAGTGGAGGACCCAGTAATAACATCGCTAGGTCTCTGAACTTCTCTATGCAATGCAGGACCTAGTGATACCATCACTAGGTCCATGTGGTTCTTTATGCAATTCAGGACCCAGTGATATCATCACTGGATCCCTGAACCTCTCTATGCAATGCAGGACCCAGCGATATCATCACTAGGTCCCTGTGCTACTCTATGCAATGGAGGACCTAGTGATATCATCACTAGGTCCCTGTGCTTACTCTATGCAATGGAGGACCCAGTGATATCATCACTCGGTCCCTGTGCTACTCTATGCAATGGAGGACCCAGCGATATCATCACTAGGTCCCTGTGCTACTCTATGCAAAGGAGCACCCAGCGATATCATCACTCGGTCCCTGTGCTACTCTATGCAATGGAGGACCCAGCGATATCATCACTAGGTCCCTGTGCTACTCTATGCAATGGAGGACCCAGCGATATCATCACTAGGTCCCGTACTACTCTATGCAGTAGAGGACCCAGCAATAACATTGCTAGGTCCCTGTGCTACTCTATGCAGTGGAGGACCCAGTAATAACATCGCTAGGTCTCTGAACTTCTCTATGCAATGCAGGACCTAGTGATACCATCACTAGGTCCATGTGGTTCTTTATGCAATTCAGGACCCAGTGATATCATCACTGGATCCCTGAACCTCTCTATGCAATGCAGGACCCAGCGATATCATCACTAGGTCCCTGTGCTACTCTATGCAATGGAGGACCTAGTGATATCATCACTAGGTCCCTGTGCTACTCTATGCAATGGAGGACCTAGTGATATCATCACTAGGTGCCTGTGCTACTCTATGGCAAGCAGAAGCACAAAGACTTAGTGATGATATCACTGGGTCCTGCATTGCATAGAGTAGCACAGGGACCTGTGCAATGCAGGACCCAGCGATATCATCACTAGGCCCATGTGGTTCTTTATGCAATGCAGGACCCAGTGATATCATCACTAGGGCCCTGAACCTCTCTATGCAATGCAGAACCCAGTGATATTATCACTAGGTCCCTGTGCTACTCTATGCAGTGGAGGACCCAGTGATAACATCTCTAGGTCCCTGAACTTCTCTATGCAATGCAGGACCTAGTGATACCATCACTAGGTCCATGTGGTTCTTTATGCAATGCAGGACCCAGTGATATCATCACTAGGGTCCACAAACCTCTCTATGCAATGCAGGACCCAGCGATATCATCACTAGGCCCATATGGTTCTTTATGCAATGCAGGACCCAGTGATATCATCACTAGGGCCCTGAACCTCTCTATGCAATGCAGAACCCAGTGATATTATCACTAGGTCCCTGTGCTACTCTATGCAATGCAGGACCCAGTGATATCATCACTAAGTCTTTGTGCTTCTGGTTGCCTGAGAGATAGTATTGAGGCTCAAGCAACCAAAAACTACAGTTACCCCTGTGGGTGATGGATAACTGGGAGTTTACTGTAACTGGATTTGGTATTTGTCATACAGGAGCTTTTAGTTATACTTTAATCTTCCCTCATGGTTGAGGTCCTCTATGTCTTTTATCAGTTTAGTTTAGTTTTCTGCACTCTCTCCATTTCCTCAACATCTTTTTTTGTGAATTGGTGCCCAAAACTGAACTGCAAACTGTGACTGAACAGTGAAAGGAGAAGCAGCACAGTGATTAGTTCACCTTGTCACTCTGTTTTCTCCTCCTATTAGCATGCTTCTTGTCAGCACACAAACTGATTGGCACGTTATGGTGGTTTTACCTCCCACACCTCAGCCCTGCTGTACAGGGACGGCAAGAAGCTGATATCAGGTCAAATTCAGGTACTTACACTGCCGGCATTTAAAAGATACATTAAATGATTTAACAAGGCACCGTGGATGCCACTAGTGCAGTGTTGATCACTGCTAGAGCAGGAAGTAGGTCGGGCAGCAGTGGCACATATTCTGAAGCATTGCTACCTCAAAGTTATCAGGGATGAGTGATCACAAGAGTAAGCTCATTTTTTTACAAACCTTTCAGCAGGTAAGCAGATCCTATGAATGCCTCCCCATGGTGTATTCAGCTGCTGGGCTGGAGTTGCCCTTTAAAGTCGGTTCACTCCGGTGACTGCACAGGAGACAAAACTGTCTGCAGATCTGTACCAGTGATAGAAGATGTGAAGGAGGCTGGCAGAATCTAATCAGCCATTAATCTGCGCAACACAATATTCTAATATCCACTTAACGTCTCCCATCAGATAAAAGCCGTTTCCATGACTCCAGATTCACTCCAGGGGCCGAGCAGATGAACTGCAAATAGGGATAGATACTGCTTTACAGTATCGGTTCCTTAAATATCTCCTGATTACACGTTTCCCTCCCCCGCTCACCCATCCATGTGAGTGACAAACAGATTCCGGCTACTTGATTTTATTCCCATGGAAAGAAGCCAGAATAGATTTTGTAGCCTTTTGCTCATGTACAGGTCCCCTAAAGGGTCATTTACAAATATTTCATTTTTGGTGGATGCTGGAGAGTTGAACTATCCAATAGATTCTTTGACCTCCAAGGGATTCCAATGGTGGTATCTATGATTTTGAGTTCCCAGGTCAAGGATAAAGGATAAGTGGACTTTAAAACAAAGTGCACTTATAGTTTAGGCCCCTTTAAGGTGACGTCACTGCTTCCTCCCTCCTCACAAATGAATACTTACCAAGTGCTGATGGGCCCGGAACCCATTTACATGCTGTGGTGGATGTCTTCTTTTCATGGCCGTGCCTGTACAGTAGATCTCCATTGACTTCTATGGGGCTCATTTACCTACCAGCTGGGAGAACGGTCCCATAAAAGTCAATGGGGATGTATTGAGCAGGCACGGCCTGAAGAGGACATCTGCCACAGGACGGATCAACGGAGGCCGGGCCCCAGGACGAATCAACGGAGGCCGGGCCCCATCCAAACTAGGAAAGTATTCATCTGTGCAGATGGAGCGGTGACATTACCTTAAAGAGGGGCTCCAGGAATTAACCCATTGGGTTATACCGCCACACTGCAGCCGGGAAGGAATCGATTGAAGGCGCCAAGCTGAAAATTGTCGCCCCAACAGTGACTGCAGCCAATCAGATGCAGTCAGAGTTTGGGAATTCTGACAGCTGCACTGTCAGAATACAATAGCCCATCATGGATGGGGGAAATCGAGGCTGAACAAGACTCCTTCGATTGCTCCTTCCCGGATGCAGTGCGGATCTGTGCCGTCAACATATAGCAGTAGCTGGCTATATGTTGACTTTGGGTCACAGGAGTACATTGGTGAATATTTTAATAAATGTATTCCTGTCACCCAAAAGAGAAGTAAAGCTGAAAAAAACTGAGACCACCAAACTGCAGCTTATATCAAATAAAATGTGGGGGGCAATGTGCAGATGCAGGGGTGTATATACAACAAATTGCCCCCCTGGCATTCTGCCCAGCTCCTGGCAACCATTGACATCACTGGTTGCCAGGAGCTGGGTGGGAAGCTGGCCAGAGTATCCCAGGTTGCTAAGAGCTGGGCGGGGAGATGTGCAAGAGCCATACACAACACCCCGCCGAGCTCCTGGTATGCTCTGGCTGGTGTCCCCACTCGCATACACATCTCCCCGCCTGCTCTGGTTGCTAAGAGCCAGGCAGAGAGATGTGTATGGCCCTTACAGACCTCCCTGCCTGGCTTTTAGCAACCTGGGACACTCTGGCTGGCGTCCCACTCAGCTCCTGGCAATCAGTGACATCACTAGTTGCCAGGAGCTGGGCGGGAAGCTGGCCAGAGTATCCCAGGTTGCTAAGAGCTGGGCGGGGAGATGTGTGGGGGCCATACACAACACCCCGCCAATCTCCTGGTACACTCTGGCTGGCGTCCCCACTCGCATACACATCTCCCCGCCTGCTCTGGTTGCTAAGATGTATGGCCCTTACAGATCTCCCTGCCTGGCATTTAGCAACTGGAACACTCTGGCTGGCATCCCACTCAGCTCCTGGCAACCTGTGATATCACTGGTTGCCAGTAGCTGGGCGGGACACTGACCAGAGCACCCCTGGTTGCTAAGAGCGGAGCAGGGAGATGTGTATAGGAAGGGGATGGGGAGACACAAAAAGTCAGCTGTCCATGTGGGTTTGCATACTTCCGCTGACCTACGCCCCTACCTTTAAGTGGCGCCCAGGGCATGTGCCATTCATGCCATACTCTG